GTCAGCAATACTAGCATTACATCTAAACAGTAGTAGGAGTACCAGGGCATCTTATAAGCCTCTGTACGCAGATGTGGAGCCCCTTTATGGCGCATCACATATTCCACCCAGAAGATGGCCCGATCCATGGGTGACATTGGCTGATCTCTGTGCAGACGTGACAGTCTTTGCATGTTCTGTCTGTAGCTGTCTCGATGAAGAACTTCCATAAGACCTTGCTCAAAACTGTGTCCGTTAACATCACCTAACGGGATGATCTTTCCGGCTCCCCTATCCTGCAGACGAAGAAGGTTGTCATACTGGTCGAAGAACAAGGGTATGCCGAGCACAGGGACCCCGTGGTAAATGGCCTCCTGAACACCATTGGTTCCTCCGTGAGCTACAAAGACTTTGGTCTGTGGGTGGCCCAGGAGGTCCTTCTGTGGCATCCAGTCCACTATCAGAGTGTTGTTGCCCAAAGTAGAGGGTTGTTCCCCTTTGTGCCTCCATATCACCTGATCAGAAAACAAACAATCATTATGAATTTACAGCGCACATGTACCTCAGCAGAAAGACATGATGATGTCATTGCTGCAGCTTGTCTCCACTGCACAACTTTAAATTATGTAATGTCATTTAAACTGAGTGCTTTCCAAGATACTCAAAAGTGCTTTGCATGACACATTAAATAGACAAACCTAGAAAACTATAACACAACACAAGCTAAGACAAGACAAGTTGTGTTTTAAAAGGTTAGTTTTGAGTAATTTATAGTGCAAAGTAATTGAGAGACCTTGATTTACACAGTGAATCATTTATTAATATTTGTTTATTTTCAGCTCTTGTATAAAGAATTAATCTGTTTTTTAGATCTACTAATGACTCTAGCACAGCAGTGCGGTGGTTAGCGCTGTCGCTTCACAGCAAGAAGCCTCCCAATTCGAGCTCCGGCCGACCCGGTGCTTTTCTGTGCACAGTGTGCATGTTCTCTCTGTGCTTGGGTGGTTCTCTCCAAGTACTCTGGCTTCCTCCCACTGTCCAGAGACATGACGCTTAGGTTGAGTGGTGACTCTAAATTGCCCCTAGGCATGAATGCGAGTGTGTGCTTGTTTGTCTATGTGTCAGCCCTGTGATGGACTGGAACCCCGCTTCTTGCCCAATGTCAGCTGGGATTGGCTCCAGGCCCCCTGCAACCCTGTTCAGGAATAAGCGGTATAAATAATGGATGGATGGATGAAATAACTGTGTGTGATGTGCTGGCCAGGCTGCCAGTCTACTTTAATTCTATTTTAATTTGATGCATTTATTGGAAAAGTGATTTGTTGATCTTTAGTTCTGTATCTATTTCTCTGAGTTTAATATTACTTTTAATTTGATCTGATTAGTAAAGGGATTCATTGGTGAATCACTGAGCATGTTATACCTTCTGAGGCATCTTGGCAAAGACGCTGGCAATTTCATCTGAGATCTCTTTGGGCAAAGCATTAACCAAAGTTCCAAGAGTCATGATGATCACTCCATGCTCCCCAGCACTCTGAACAAACTCCTCCAGGTCAGCTGGCAGAGGTTGTGCTGGTTTGCACTGGAACCCCCCTATGTAGACAATGTTTGGCATGGTAGGCCGAGGGAAATCAAACACGAAATCTGACCTGAACAGCCAAATGTCTGCTTCCTGAAGAAGCGACATGATGTCACATCCACCCTTGATGTATTTATCACAGATGGCATCATAGTTTGGTCCCACCATGAATTTCTGCTGCAACATTACAATGCTATGGAAAAACAAGTTCTTGACTCGCTCCATGAAATTCATTTTGTCTGTTAAGCCTGATCCTGGTGCTGGGATGTAAGAGAGTGGTGAGGGGGCTATCGCAAAGTGCCCTTCTCCACTGGTGATCCAGCGAACATTGAGCATCACGGGCAGTTTTAGATACTTGCCCAGTATAAGCCCTGATCCTAAGGTTGGGTCAGTGTTTTTTAGGAGCTGACAATGAATTATGAAAACAGGCAATATGTGAATGTGCAAAGGTGGGAGACTTAAAAAAGCACATGAATTTTGATCTGACTGCTCTGACATTGGTGGCATGGTCAGTAATCAGAAATGATTCAGGTCTAGGACCACAGAGTATATGGAAGTGACCCAGATCTCATTTGAAAAAGATCAGGTTTAGTTTGTTCACACATCTGTGAAAAGATAAGATCTGAGTCATTTGGAGGGAAAATAAAAAATCACTTCAGCATGAATATATGAATATAACCATAATGACCCACATGGGGCCCAATACATTATCTATAATAACATACCCTTATATTCTCCTTTAGGTATTCATCAAAAAAGTTGTCAGTGTCTCCATCCATTTGAACTGTAATGGAAGTGTAGAGAGGAGACTTTTCTGTGATGTACCAACTAGTGGAGGATCTAATCACAGTGATGCTGTGTCCTCTGGCATGAAGATCTTCTAGCAGGATCTTCATATTGACCCAGTGACTGGCATCTACAGGGTAGACTAGAATATTTCCGCCATTGCAAGTTGGTGTGAAAGAAATCAGACATACACTGAGGAATGCAAATAATCCATGAATATGATGTGATAGCATGGTTCCTAAAATGTAAAAAAGAGAGAAATATTATTAAAAATGTAGTTTAAAAAAGTTTGTAGAGTGGAGCTTAACTGCAAACAGCAGTCAATAAAAACTGGCACATTGTCTTGTTTTTAATTACTCGTTTAGCAAACACTCATGTTAAGCATATGTCAAAAAAAAGAAAAATAAAGATATATTTTTTAGTAACTGAAGGACATCTTTGCTACTTCTGTATTGGCAAAAAGGGTTGCAGAACGAGATAATCTTGTGAACGGTTCTGGTGCATTGATTTGTAATTCAAGAAGCATGTAATATATTCAGGAAACTTATTAAGTAGGGCTTTATAGGTGAATAACATACAGTGATACTCTCTTCTCAGTGTCAGAGCTGGCCAACCTCCTTTCTAATATGGCGCACAATGGTGAGTCCTAAAGGGATCTCCAGTGAAAAAATCTAATGGCATCATGATACACTGAGTCAAGTGGTTTCAGGGTTTTTGCAGGGGCATGCATATAAATTTTATTGCCATAATCTATTACAGATAAAGTTGTTGCTTGTATCAACTGCCTCCTGTGACACTCATTAAAACAAAATGTGTTTCAATGCAGAAATAAAATTCTAGGCTTAAGCGAAGCAGTTAATATTTCAATATGCAATTTAAAACTCAGCTTGTTGTTTAACCAAAAGCCAAGGTAATTATATACAGAGACTTTGTCAGTAACAGCACCATTTAGTGTAGTAATATTTAAATGTAGGTTATGAATTTGACATTTTCTAGTAAAAATTGTTACGTTGTTTTACAGGAATTTAATGTTAGTTTAAGATCAAGAAGAAGATGATGAACAAGGTCAAAATCAGACTTCAAATGATGAAAACCCTGGTCATTGAAGTGAGCTGACCATGTCATCTGCATATAAATGAATAGTACTATTAATTACTTTGGATCCTAGATCATCAATAAAAAAGTGAACAAAGTGGGGCTCAGAATGGATCCTTGTGGGATTCCACTAAGAATACCCATAACGGCTGACTTAAAACAATCTACCACAACAGCTTGTATCTATCAGGCAAATAATTTTTAAATCCTAATCCAATCAGGGCAAGGATTTTTTCCTCACCTTAGGTAAGGCTATGTGCTTAACAAGTCTGATGGATGGGAATAGTCTATAAATTTCACGCACACAAGAAACAATTTACGACATAACATTCCTGAAATTCACTTACCCCTGCTCAAGAGTGCCAAAAGCAGACCTGCTTACTTCCAGACTGACACTCCATCTACAAGTTTAATATGATGTTTGAGTTCAAACTCCATTGTCAGAGATGACCGGTCATTTCACAGGTAAATGAGTTATATGCAGCACGGGTCACATGAAGACTGCAATGAATGCTCTGCAAATACTGATTATTTCTAATTTTTCCATTTTATTATAGTGTTACTAATGCACTTAATCATGTTGTTATACTATTGGTAAATTTGTAGTACACTGAATATTGTGTCTAGTTTTGTGAATGTTTGTCTTTGACATGTGGCGTTTGCGACATACAAACCTGTGTGACCTCTTTCATGAGACCATATATAATATTAACCAACATGTTGCTTATCTAGAGTTAGTTTTATTAGATATGAATAGTTTTTAGGCCAAATATTTTAATTGCAAATGGATGGCACCAACTATAGACAATGTAATTAATGTCTGGGCAGGAAGACAATGATTTGCATTTTCACTCCATACAATATTTTATTACATTGTGTGCACAGTTAGAGAATAATGTCAAATTGATGTGACTATTATAATATAATTTGGGAGCATTGTGAAATTAAAATCAGTCAAGACATTTGACAAATATATACAGTGGGTACAGAAAGTATTCAGACCCCCTTAAATTTTTCACTCTTTGTTATATTGCAGCCATATGCTAAAATCATTTAA